CGGCAACATGCATTGGGATCTAACAAAACAAAACACCAGTAACGGTAGTAGTGACAGTAACACCAGTTGGTGCTGCCTTGAAGCAGATGGTTGACTTAACGGTGTTCAGAGATGACATTTGGTAGCTCGCCCAGGAATATGGCAGGAGCCTTCTGAGAAGTGCTGAGCATGTTGGCTTCTAACAGAAGCAGAAGAACATTCTGCTCTTTGTGGAGCAAGGGGCAGGCTCACATGTTTGCCTTAAAAAAATTGGAGGTTAGAAAATGTTTTGTAACGGAATGCAGGAGACTCAGCAAGTTAGTTTAAATAAATTGTTTTTCCCCTTGGTCCATTTTAAACTCTCTCCCTATGTTTTTCCCATTGGCACAGAAGCACTCAGCTGAAATAGCTCTCCCCTGTAGCTTCTGTCCCAGAGAATGCTATGATTGAGAGAATACATGTATCTTCATGCAATATCTCAGTGATAATTATTAGCCCTTAGATACATACCAGATGCTCCTTTCCTTTGGTAACTAAGTGGGCTGTGAGATTAAACCTGCCTGTGAGCATCAAGCTGCACTGAGAATTAGGAATGCTTGCTTTCAAGAACCAAGATCATAGACAGAAAACTAGTCAGAAGTCACTACAAAGTGAGGACTGAGTGGAAAGGTTCTCTACTTTTACTTTAAATGTGAACTACTAGTACAAATGCTACATACACGCTCAGTTCCACATGGTTATTTTGTCAGGACAGCTTAAGCCAGCTGACATAATAAAGTACGCTGTGCAAGCCAAAGGACTTTCCCCAAACATTACTGCTTGCATGCACGCTAGGTTTGCAGCTATAGGTATGTCAGGGAAGATGTGCAGAATTTAAGTGTATTAAACCTAATTCTTCTGCTCTTGCATTCATTGCCGCAATGACAGCCAGGTCTGAGAAGTCCACATACTACAGAGCTGTGCTGTTTCCAGAAGACTAGACCTGGTATAAGAAGAGACAGCGTTAACCTGGAGCATAAGGACTGTTCTAGAATATTTCTCCATGTAACTACTCTGATTTCAGACTGAATCTTTTATTTAGCTGAATTCTCTTCCAGGTGTTTGTCTTTACTCAAAGTACAGCTCTGAGACCTCAAATTGTATGTCTTCCATGTATGTCTTCCACTTCCCACATCAGGGTCCAGAAATAAAACACAAGCTTATGATATTGCCTGTGTGGTATCAAATGACTTGTCTACATATGGAAGAGTAAAAGTGAAGTTTTGCAGCTTGGTTGTAAGCTGCCATGATCCCATTTCCTGTTTGGAAGGGCTTCAATGAGTTCCACAGTTTTTCCTTGCAGGTTCTGCATCAGTGCTCCAGATAATGTCACCAAGACTGTTAGGATCAGTACTGAAATATGTGGAAACTGAACTCAGTAAGAGTCCAGTTTCTTAGCTGAAGCTGATGAGAGAGAGTACTGTATCAGAAGCAAGACAAAAATGACATTGATCTTTCAGATCTTCTGGCACCAACTCTCACCTTGTTCTATCCTGGTCTTTTCTCTAGCATAGGCCTGACTGAAACTATATTTAGGACACCAAGTGTCTTTGAGACAGGCTTTATGCCTTTAGGGAATTCTTGTGCTGCTAAATTCAACAGGTTGTTCATATTTTCTAGACACTTGGTGTTTACATGCATAGGTTTTTAGTGGCTGATGGATCAAAAATATAGTACCTTGAGTTAACAGCTAGTTACTAGATCACATAGTAGGATCTCCTGGCATACAAGGGAAATAGGATTACCAGATCATGGAAAAAACGAAACAAAACAAAACAAAAAAACAACACTGATTTGTTATGTATCCCATAGAAACTGCATAACATTTTTCTTGGAGAAGGGCCACTCCCACATGAGTCAAGCCAAAAGCCTAGAAAAGCACCAAAAGAGCCTACTGACTAGTTCAGGCCCAAATACTAAACTTTCAGTACAGAACATTTTCTACCTAGGATGGTTTTGCAGCACTTTCCATTGACTGCATCCAGGCTCTGCCTCTGTTTTCATGGCATCAGATCATTTACATCCTTTTAAGAAAGCGGTTGGTACATTTACAGACTGCTTGGGTCAGATAAGCAAAGCCTATGGCAGGAAGGGCTGCATCTCTTTACCTGGAAGTCCACTCACACACTTTCCCCATACTGTCATTGAGGTCTTCAGCTTCCTCTTCAGTTCCTACTTGCAGTCCTTTCCCCAGGTCCCCTTTACTAAGATTATTCTGACACTAACAAGAGTTGCATCATCCTAGGCACAAGCAAAGCAAAGACAGGTAGGATGACTAATTACCCACTCCTTTGTATTTCACTTTCCACTCATTATTTTCTGTTCTCCCTTTTCTCCACATTGTTTGGGAATCCCATTCTTCCTCCCTCACCTCTGATTTTCTAGCACTGCATTACTCAGCTTGCTGCTTCCCTACGCTGTGTCTAGCACACAGAGAACAGATGATACAGCCTGGTCAGCCCCAGAGAGGAAGGACAAAAGAATTGCCTTGATCCTACAGTGTTGCAGCTCTAATGTCTGGTGAACCATGGGCCCAAACCCCAGTTCTGTGTGTCATGTGTCTTAGGATGAAGCCACTTGCTTAAGTGTGTTTGCCATGCAACTTTGAGCACATGACAATTTCTGGACAGCTGCTTCCCCAAAGGAATGAACACCACAAGGGAAACGCTGCCACAAAGCACTTTGGGCAGTGGAGAACACCAAAGCATGTGGAGGCACACCTGATCCCCAGAATAAGAAATGAACCCACTTCATCTCCTGTGCTTTGGAGATGTCCAGAGTTTGCACCCAGGAGCAGAGTGGCATCCAAACAGCATAGACAGGCTGCAAAATTAGCCTGAGTCCAGTCCAATGCTCAGCCAACAATGCAGACTCAGCACGGGATGGAGGAGCAGAGTACCTGAGGTCACAGACAACAGTCCCAAATCACTGGGCTAGAGCTCATCTTAACACCAATCTTTTCAGGGCTGGACACTGGATGAAAGTTGCAAGAATATTTTCAGGCTGGGGTGTTGGCAGCATTCATTTTATTCCTCCACTCATTCAGTGCTGCTCATGGCAGCAGCTTGAGACATGGCTGGGTACCACTGACAAGGATAGGACTGAGGAGAGGGAGGAGGATGCTGTAGATCAAAAGGCAACCCATCCCTGATCTTACTACCCCAGTAGCTCCCACCATTGCTGTGTGCTGCGCTTTCCCTGCATGCAGGGATGGCCCTTTACCCAGACCTCACGGACACCAGCCTGCAGGCATTTTTGCCCCCATCAGTTGAAACAAACTAAGGACAAGCAGAAAAAAAAAAAAAAAAAAAAAAAAAAAAAAGGAAAAAATCCAAGGCCATGCAAAAAAAGTAGCTGCTGAAAGCACACATGCTCATAAATACACTACAATGAACTAGGATCATTTAGAAACATCTTCTAGATCATTCTGAGGAATATGTGACTACACTATACAGAGACATTAGCTCTCATTTGCATTATCATGAGTTATATGTCTGGAACTTAATATAACTCATAAATTAGATTGCATCTTCAGCCTTTTTTCATTAGGTGTTGAGGATGCACCTTGATATAAATTGGGTGCTCAGCTTGCACTCCAAAGCATGCAGGAAAGGCATTGGAAAACAACTGCTAAAGGAAGATACATGAAACTTTGTATATGGGTAAAATAAGTTCAGAGTAAAGCTAGATAAATAAGAGAAAGTGTCTTGCTTGCATAGTGGGAGGAGGCCTTTGAAGCGGGGTTGCAAAAGGTCTGACCCCCATACTATTCAATTCATATCGAGCTTGTCTACCTCAGCGTTGGACGGGTAGAAGTGTTTCCCCTCAGGGGTCAGACAGTGGGGTCTGGTTGCTGTCTTCAGCACGAGGCCCCACTGGGTGCTCATACCACTGAGCTCTTCTTCCACCATCAGACAAGAGGCACCCACTGGGTCTAACCTTTCTGGCCTGAATATAGGTACCTTTTGCATGCGAGGAAGTGAAGCAGTCCGTGTATAATCTTATTGCAAAAATGACATTTTCCTTTGTAAAAGGTTTCATTAGATTTAGTTGAAATGGATTCCATTGCTTCAAATAGACTAACTCTAGAAGAAAAAAACACTTTTAGCCCAGAAGGAGATGATCACAAGCATCTAAATTATGAAAGAGCACTTATTCTCTAGAAGAGTTTCATGTGCACATATATTTTGTTCTCAAGGACAAGTAAATCTCTTAACGTTTATTGCAAGGCTAAAAACCACAACAGACACTCCTCCACCCTCACTACACCCCCCTCCAAAAAACAAAACAACAAGAGAAAAAAAACAAAAAACAAAAAACATCAATACACAAAAACATGAAGAAACCTGGAGGGAAAAAAGGAAAAGCTGAGAAGCTAAAGCACTTGAATGTGCTCTGTCAATGTTCTCAAGCAGAGACTGCTAATTAAAAACAAAATGGATATGGTACATTCATATTTTATCACATCAGAAGGTTAAATGCATATTTCAGCATATACAACTGTTCACAGAAGCGGGTTTGGAGCCTCACAGACCACAGTTCAGGATTTATTAAAGCCACACTCCTACAAGATAACAAGTGCAATGCAAGTAATCCAGTATTAATATTCAAAAGGGATAACAGTGAATGAAAGCTTTAAAGTAGACTTTCTACACATGCATCATCTTTTCCCAAAGCTTGTATACCACACCTTTACAAAAACCATTAGCAAGAAACTGCAGTTCCAGGCTTAGAAATACACAAGTAATGCAAAGCCCTCTTTTAAACACATTAATAGCTGCATCACATTGGTTCCTCAAATAGCCTCATAGCCCTGTCCATGCTCATTTCAAGCTCTTCCACACAGACTGTGACTTTTTAATAGACACTAACAACAGTAGGGATTGTAACTCCACACAAGAACTGGTATTTTCAGTACACTCTGTTTCTAGCTTCACACAATTACAAAAGTTGCCCCTAAAGTGATTCTCTTATTTAAAATTAAAAAAAAAAAAAAAAAAAAAAGTTCATTTTTGCCTCTGTTTAAAGCTTTATACAATATGAGATGTTAAAACCAATAAGTTTGAAATGAAGCATCAGAACATTCCTTGACCTTGTCAGCACCATTTGTTTTTTTTCTTTTTTTGTGCAATAAAAACATATTTAAGCATATTCCCATGGAACTTGTTGATTTCTGTGAATTGACATTCCCCAGTAAAAAAAATAAAATAAAATAAACCTCAAACACAAAAAACCACAACAATACTAGCTGGAAATGTTTCAAGCGGCTCTCTGCCCAAGAAATGCAGAGCAGAAAAATTGCCCAGGCTGCTCCAGATACAATCTCTAAAGGCTTCTCCTTTGCTTTTATAACTCTGTCCAGAAGATAGAGCCTTCCCTGTATCCCCTTCTGCAGGACTGAATAACAGAAAATACTTCTTGCTTCTTTGCTTGCTTTACACTGTCAGCACTGTATGTATTCATCACCTTAATGGAGCTGATGCAAATAAGGGGAGGACATGAAAATGCCTCTTGCATATCCAGGCATCAAATCATTATTTGTTTTGAAACACTGCAATAGTTTTTGTTGCTACAGGAACCACACATAGCAAGCTTTATATTTTTACATACATATATACATACATTATACATATGTTGTATTAAAGCATTTAAAAAGGAAAAGTCAATTATATCAGATAGCTACAGCAAGCACAGCATTTGAGAGTATGATAGATGAATACCCAGACAACAAGGATTTTGAATTCCTACTAAAAGATTATTGTGTTTACTAGCAATGCCTTTCTATTGTAAAAAACAATCTCATTGGTTTGGCATTTTCCATAATATTACATCCCCAGAAAATTACTGATTTCTGTGTGGGGACCTTACCTTTGTAGCATCAATCCCTCACAACTTTCTGACCTTGCAATCCCAAGGTGGTAGCTGTGGTGTACATTAATTTCCAGACAAAAGAGAAATCCATTCCTTTGGGTGCAAATCAGGCTTCAAAGACTACAAGACAGGTCTTCTGCAGCATTATCAGAGCTCCACAATTCTTACCCTGCCTCAGGCAGGTAAGTGCTTCCTCTTCAGGTGCACAACCAGGCACTTGTCCTTACAAACAAAAAACTTTGTCACTTATCCATGAATCAAAGAGGCAGTGGGATTTATTCAGATGTCCCATGAGAAGGTGGAGATGTAGAAGTGTGAGACATAAGCCAGAACTCCTCAGCAACCTTGTAGCACATGAGATTCTTTCATCATGTTTTTTACTTCATTTTCAGACCATGAATTATTTTGAGTTTCTGACCGGAACCATATTAATGGTGGCATATTAATTTCTGAACCATTTTCTGCTCACCAGAAAAGAACCAAACCCACACCCTCTAAAGTTAGTCTGATCTAAGCAGCCCAGGACTTGCAATTTAAAAGAAGTACTGCAATCAGCACATCTGTACCACCTGATCCCCCTGTTTCTCCTCAGTCACAGACTGTGTTTCCCATCAGGGCTTTCTCCTGGGTTGCTCCCAACCCTCCCTGGTGGGAAAGGTGATGGAGAAACAGCTGCCCAGGGTCCAGCAAGCGCAAGCGCAAGCACTAGGGCAACTACAGTGGCAGATCTTTCATCTTGGTGGTCTCATTGCTCCTGGCAATTTTGAGCTATTTGCTTGGCTGGTTAATATGGAGTGAAGCTGATTGGAGGTAAGATACCGTGATATAAGCATGCATCACACTTTGTTATCTAAGCCCTTTGAAACAGATAGGAAATAAATACCAGCGTATCAGAGTATGGAATAATTTTGGAGGGGCTGTTAGCTGTACAGATAGCTTTGACATGTGCAACAGTGAACTGTGCAGTTCCAGCTACTGGAACTGAGAATAATATTCATGACTGGTCAACCAGGGCTCGAAGTATATCCCTACATCCTGCGAGCAAGAGCATAACAAGTAGTTAGTGTGATGCTGGAACACAGTTTTAAAACTGGGATTTAATTTCTCACTCTTGATGAAGAGAATGATTTATTTAACCATGTATTTTCAAAATTAAAAGCAATAATCTGGGAGTAAAAGCTGAATGCTGATGATTTATAACTACATTTGATACTGGCCATGCTAATGATGTGATATTTTTGTCTGTGTAACCTATGAGTTATCCAGCAAAAACATAATCTTTCAACTGCTAAAATAATTATATTCATATGCTGATAAAGGGAGAGTTTATCAAACAGATAAACTAGATAAAGTTGGTTTCACTAGAACAGAGGACACAGGCAATATGAGTGCTTGTTCTTAATGAGCACAATTTCCAATGGCCTCCAGATTTGAGAAGCAGATTATGTATCAAAGACTTTTATATTGTTTTGCTTCAGTTTTTCATAGATCTTCATGATTTTATCTGTCCTGTTCTTTTTTTCCAGACAGACTTAACTGGCTTGCAGTATGTATGGTTAGATCCTACTCCAGCATGTGGGGAAACAGATCTGCTTAAGAGAGTCTATGCACAGATAACATATACCATATGGGCTGGGGGGGGAGAGAGGAAAAGGGGAAGACACAAAGGGAGAGAGAAAGTTTAAATGGGTGGAGCATTACCAAGATGGAGGCAAAGTAGTCCTCCTATCATTACTTGTTTTATTAGATTTGTTCTTTAGGCATACAGCCTTGTACTAAGGGCCATCAAATGGCCTCTACAGTGCTTATATCCTGTATCATTACACTAGGAATTGTGATGAAGAACTAAGGCCTTAAAATGCTCCATTGCACATGAGCACATCTCACCTTTTGCAGGTCTAGGAAGATGGTTTATAACAATTCGTCAAAAACTCGAGAAAAAAAAATAAAGAAAAAGGGGAGCTGGTTTATATCAAATGTTATCATGAAAATAATCTCTTGTGTAAGAGATTTTACTGCTAAAAAGTATCTTAAACTGTTTCATATAACTTGATCAGAATAGAACAACAACAACAACAACAAAACCTCTTCCTATTCTATTATTGAAAGTATTGGAACATCCTAAGATAGTTTAAAAGTCTTGCAAGAATATACTTTCTAATGAGATTTGTGGGGCTCCTTGCTTCTGCTTAAACTAGAGCATAAAAATACAGAAATTCTCAAGAAAAGAAAAAACACATCAAAGTTGAGCAGAGTTCACCGAGCCTGAGAGAAGCTTGGCTTGAGATGGGAATTTAGTTTTGTTTCAACTGTATCATCATGTAGACTTCTACATTTTAAGAGCTACATATCTCTCTGCTAAATCTCCATCGCTCAGCATACCAACAAGGTGTATCATGGGTACATTTCACAGCATATTTTGTTGCTGTGTTTTATTGGACAGTATTTTGTAAATGTTAGCACATTTGACATAGCTTTACATGATTTCTTTGTTGCCGAGGAAGAAATGAACAATGTTTAGCAAAGCAGATGGTGCAGCCAGGTGTATATTTATTTAAGAATAAATCACAATGTACCACAATACATTTCCTGCTACCGGTGTTCAGAGGGGAGTTAGGAAAAGAGCCTAGAAACTTGTCGTCTTTACCCACTCAGAATAACTTAGCTAGAGATGTTTTTTACATAAATGTCATATCTTAATATGAAGAGGTCATTGCTTCCACATGATTTGTTGAATATCTGTTTAAACAAACACTGTTATCCTTTAAAGCTTGTTTCAACAGTTCAGGGGACTGAAACCACAAAGAAAGTTTTTAAGTGTAAATCTGATTTAAAGCTCTGGAAATGTCAAAGCAAAACATATTTTGTTTGAGAAGACTTCGAATATCTCTTGATAGTTATCTTCTGAAGATGGAAAGTGGATAACACTGCCTGACACTAGTATAGAAGCTTTGATTCATATAAATTGAAACAGAACATATAAAACCCATTTCACCAGTTTGAAACCTGTAATGGAGGTACAAGCCCAGCTGAAGCTGCAGAAAGGATAGAAAATAATAGCAAAGCTAAATTTGATCAGAACAACATGGTAACATCTCTATTCCTGTGAAAAACAAGTAACTTTTATCATTTCCCAGCTTAAAAAGGAGAAGTGTTTTTGAAAAGTTGATGGATTTGTCTCAGAAAATTTGTACTAAAGAAATGAGAGGACTCTGGACTTGAAAAATTCTTAGTGAAGGAATGAAGCCTGTTACATGCTCAAATTCTTTTAATAGCAGCGGAAGACTGTTAAGGAAAGATATTTGGGAGTAACTAACAAGTCTCAGAGAATCTGTGCATTGAATAGTCCTGAGCAAAGACTGTGTTTCTTTGGAGGGAGAAAGAGAGTAGAAGTCACTGATCCCAGCCCACTTAGTTGCATGTGGGGAGTAGGAAGGAACAAGAGAAATTTGTAGTTTTAGATAATGATTTAACTTTCACAGGTTGTTGAATGAATCTTTTCTAAGCAGAGGTGTGCTTGGAATGGTAATTCCTAGAGAACTATTTGGAATTTGGATTTGCTATTGCTCAATAAAAAAGTGAAAGTGAATGGTACGTGTTTAAAAAAGCACAGAACTTGTCTAGTAGGATCACAGTGTAGAAGATGTTTCTGGATGTGCAAGGACATTGGGATATATTGATGTGGCAGTATCTTAAATGTGCTTTGTGTTTACTCTTCTAATCTCAAATTAATTTGCTTGTGGTCCCTTATTTCGCACACTATAATTCCATCTCTAAGAATTTGGGAGGTGTGACTTTAAGTGCTCAAGAAACACACATCTAATTGGGATGGAAAAAACAATAAGAGGAGGTGCTTCTGGAAAACTCTGTGTAAGCTGTCATGTCAGCAGAAAAGATGTGGAATGAGAAAATGTCATGTGAATTCAAATGTCCCATTTTACTGTTGTCTTTGTGGTCCTGTTTTCCTAAGGAAACCACTATTTTCAAGAATTCTATATTGCTCTATCTCTCTGTCTCTTCTTTTTAGTCATGAGTTGACCAAACTCCAGCCAAATTTGACAAACAGATAGTCATCTGAAGCATATTATGTTTCAATAATACACATAAAGCCTCAGCTGAAGAAAAGTTTGCACTGTAAACTCACCTCTTTAGATATCTCAGCTTGGTCCCACATCTGGAAATAAATAAATAAATAAAAGGACTGCACTAGTGTTCCTGCTTCTGGTTAGTCATTCCTGTAGTTGTAGCTTTTCTGCTCTCACCACATGAGGCTGGATTGTGTTAGGTGCTACAGAGACACAGAATAAGGACACAAGAACAAAGATCTTCATGATGAGGACACCCAGAGCAAAAGACTGCCTGGAAATAGTTCCACAGTAAAATACGTACATCTAGACATATAAACATGCAAAACACAAAGCACTGGTTTGGAAAAAGATAGCTCCAACACATTCCCAAACTGGGCACCCATGATCCTTTTATACTTGAATCCCATGACATTCATTTGGTCTATGTGTGGTTAATCTTTTGTTAGTCCACATTATCTTGTTCCTTGTCCCTTCTTCTCAGCTCAGTCTGTGAACTGTAGGAAAAAGGACATATTGAAGGTGTTTTTTGCCCGTGACCTCATGGACTAGTTCTGTCCCATCTCTGACTGCCACCTCCTCCAGATCCCCCACCATTCCTGCATAGGCCTTCCTGGTGTTCCAGCCTTGCTCTGCACTCGCTCTCCATTTTCATTCAGGCTTCATGATGATCATGTATACCCTAGGGTTTTGAGGTCTTGTTACTGTTGATTCACATGGTGCAGCTAAACTGTTGGCCTCGTACAACATAGCTGCAGATGGATGGGCAGAGAGTTTCACTTTTCAATGGCATGCATGTGAACAACTTAAAACCAGACAAGGTTTTCTAATCAGTGGGCATTAAAGTCCATGTCTAAGTGAACTAGAAACCCATAAATGGGAAGACAAAAGGAAACATTTATAGAAATGTTTCCAAACTAAAGAGACTTATCATTCACAATAATTAATAGGGCAAGATGTTTGTTATTCCCTCATTGATTCATTTTGGGAATACAAGAAGTGACAAAGAACTACACCTACAGTCTTGCTGTTAGGGAGGAATATAAGTGTGGGTCTTTGTCACTTCTTATAGTCCTGAAAGTAAATCAATGTAAGAATTAGAAAACTTCATTTGAAAATATCTTCAAGTGCTGAATTTAGCTGCAGCTCAAAAAACTGAATTCATGTGCCAAAATGGATGTCTTTGTTACAGATGACTGTAGTTAATTATTCATAGCCCATGTACTGCAATACAGACAGACCTAGGGATGCAAAAGTGAGTTTATGCTTTGTAGGTCAAGTTTACTGGCACTGGGTAAGCAGGTCCACAGCAGCTAATTTGACAGAATGAAGTTCTGCCAGGCCAGATCTAGCAAAATTAGATCAGTGTTTAGAGTGCAGATGGCAGGTTTCAGAAGAAAAGGATGTGG